GGGCTCCCTCAGTCCTGGCTCAAGATCTGTGGTCAGTGCCTCACTCGTACATCTGCAGGCAACGTTTGCTGGGGGCAGGAGCAAGTTATGAGGCTGAGGCAGCCTCCACCGAGTGACCTCCTTCCTTGGAATCATCTGTGTCTACTGGCTGCTTCTCGGTCTGCCTGAGGGAGGAGAAGACACGGTAGGCTGAGGAGCCGCCAGGGGCTGTAAGGAGGAGTGTGGGCAGGGAGAGGTAGAGAACAGGCTATGACTAGAGGACAGAGTGAAACCTTGGCTGGCTGGGCCTTGCGGGAGAAAAGTGGGCAACATCCAAATGTAGATGTCAAGGCCAGTGACCTTTGTGGAATAAGGAGGCCAGTCAGGGAGCAGGGACCACACAGATTACAGTGGGGTTGTGAATTAAATGGGGGCTGTATTAAAATTGCCAGCAAGCACCTGAAAATAAAGGTGGCTCGGGGATGAGTCCCTAGTGGCACAAATGGCTAAGTGCTTGACTACCAGCTGAAAGGTTGGTGGTTCAAACCCACCCAGAGCCCTGACGACAGGCCTGGTGATCTGCTTCCAAAAGGTCACAGCCTTGAAAATCCTATGGAGCAGTTTACTCTGCACACGCAGGGGCGCCGTGAGTCAGAATCGATTTGATGGCAACTAACAGCAATGGGATGAGAGGAGCTGAACGTGTAATGCCGTATAGGGTGAGAGAAGGGGTTTGTATGAGTCACTAAATAAAAACCCCCAAAAACAAAACCCTGTTGCCTTCAAGTCAATTCTGACTCATAGCGACCCTATAGGACAGAGTAGAACTGCCCCTTAGGGTTTCCAAGAAACGGCTGGTGTATTTGAACTGCCAACATTTTGGTCAGCAGCCAAGCTCTTAACTACCACGCCCCCAGGGCTCCTGTAAGTCACTAAATAGAAAAGCCTTTTGGATGTCTCTGCAGTTTGTACCACTTTGTTATGCTTTCTTATGTTTCTGCAAAGTCCAGCTGCACATTAACAGTCTACACTGTCCCATCCAGTAGCCTCCTCTGTCATAAACCCCGTCAGGGTTTTTTTAAGGAAGGAAGTTAAAAAAAAAAAACTTCTGAGTAGCCACTTTGGATGCCCAAAGCCCCTGCCCCAATGCCATGCAAGGGATCGTAGGCAGCCTCCGTGTGACCTGCTCAGAGCCCTGCTAGACTTCGGGGAGCCGGAGCCACCTGGGACCCCAGGGCTGATTTCAACCAACCTCTTTATCGGCAAGATGAAGAGACCGAGGCCTGTTTTTACCCTTTTCTTACCTCCTTCTAACGAGCCAAGTCATTTCCTACTCCAGCCCACGGTGCCAGGCCTCTTGGCTCCGGCCCCCTAATTTGCATATATTTGCACGTGTTGAACCAAGCCGGGTACTCCTACTATCCTAATTTCCCCACCCAGGGTTGCTGGAGCCTCAGGGCCTGGGAGAGATTGTCCTAAGTGGGGCAGTTTGTTTGCAAGGAACAGAGACCCACCCAAGCTAACTCAACCCAAAAAGAGGTTTATTGAAGAGATTTAGGGAATGTGCAGAGGCGTGAAAGGTGGAGCGCACAGATGTGCCTCCGCTGCTAGAAAGTCACCAGACACCTGTTCTCACTGCTGTGTGGTTTCCCGCCTGCCTCTCGGGCCTCTGCCTGTTCTCTTTGTAGACCAGCTTCCTCTCCTTCCTCGGGGTCCTGCAGCCCCATGACTTGATCTTGTGCTTGGCGTTAGCTTCTCTCGGTGCTGCCGCCACCCGACCTTTAGGCTCTGCCTTAAAGCTGGCTCTAGTCCTTTTTTTATAGTTACATTTTGGAAAGAGAATCCGATTGGTCGAGCCCCTTATTTATGGATGAGTTGCTCTTGAGTCAAAGTTGCACCCCTTATCCATCACGGTCGGTCCGGGTGTATGAGTGGGTGTGGTAGGGTCAGGGAAGGCAAGCTGAATGACTTGCCTTGCCTATTTCGGTAATACTGGAGGTCTACGAGCCATTTCAAAAGGATTTAAAAAGCACTGATAAAAACCCAGACCCCTGGGTGGCACAAAGGCAGTCTGCTTCCATAAAGATTGCAACCAAGAAAACCTTATGGGGCGATTCTACTCTGTCACATGGGGTCACTATGAGTTAACGACTCGGTGGCAGTAGCAAAAGCAACAACAACTAACGTAAAGGTTGGAGGTTCAAATCCACCCAGCAGCACTGCAGGAGAAAGGCCTGGCAATCTGCTTCCATAAAGATCACAGCCAAGAAAACCCTATGGGGCAGTTGTGCTCTAACACAGAGGTCACCATGAGTCAGAATCAACTTGATGGCAATGGGCTGGGTTTTTAGTTTAACGAAAATCTACATTTCTTCGTTAAGTCTGCACATTGCTGTGGCTGGCGTGCAGGCTGCAAGGGGTTCGTGAACAAGGGGCTGGTCAGCTAGGTAGGGGCGTGAGACTTGGGTCCCCAGGGTCCTGGCCTGGGTTACAGAGTCACAGAAATCCATTAAGTCTGTGATGGCAGGTGATGATGGAAGGTGAATGATCAGTTCTCACAGATGGTTTAAACGGGAGTAATAGGAAGGGCAGGGCAGGCTGGCTAGAGAGAGATGGAGCGTAAGGCCTTTCTTCCTGTAAAGGAGGCAGGTGGCTTAGCAGCCTAGCTGTACCCCCCTCTCCCCCAGAGCACTTTTCTCCTGTTCCCTCGGGAAGGCTCCCTCTTGGCAGGCCACCAGCTGGCCACCCCTGAGCTGGGTTTGCCTGTAGAGATCTTTCCCTGTGGCCCGCTCTCCCCATAGCGACCCCGACTCCTGGTGTCTTGTTGGCATTAGTTACAAAAAAAGAAAAAAAAACCAAACCCGCTGCCGTCGAGTCCATTCCGACTCATAGTGACCCTATAGGACAGAGTAGAACTGCCCCATAGAGTTTCCAAGGAGCGGCTGGTGGATTCGAACTGCTGACCTTTTGGTTAGCAGCCGTAGCTCTTAACCACTGTGCAAGTGCCCAAGTGCTGCAGGCAGTTTCCTATCTCACCCGCCACCTTTGTTGTTTGCTCTGTTCTGCCCTGAGCCGCTGTGAGGCCTTGACATTTCCGCCCCCAAGTGCTCCCTTCAGCTTCACTTTCATTTGGTGGTGGTTCTTTCAACATCCGCCTTCTCTCCAAGGCCTCTTTGGTTTCTCTTTGTACCTTGGGGTCTCTTTATCCTGGATACTGTCCTTGTGTATTTTCTATTCATTTGCTATCCTTCAGTTTCTCACTTTTTCTCCCCTTACCGGTTCTTCCTCAGGCACTCCCTCCCCAAGCCTTGATTTAAAAAAAAAACCCAAACCAGTTGCCATTGAGTCCATTCTGACTTACAGCGACCCCACATGTGTCAGAGTACAGTTGTGCTCCATAGGGTTTCCAATGGCAGATGTTTTGGAAGCAGATCGCCAAGCCCGTCTTCTGAGCAGGGCCGGATTACCCCATAAGCAAGGTACGCACGAGCAATGGCACCTTCCCACCAATCTGCAGTGACAATTTCACCTGTCCTCCCACCAAGGCAAAGATGTGGTGAAACCTGTGTGAAATTGCTCATCACAGATTAACAAGTAAATACAATTAAACCCGTGCCTGCGCTGCTCAATGCAAGCAGGTGCATACCATACTTACTGGCTAATGCGCCCCTGCTTCCAAGGTGCATCTGGCTGGGCTCACGCCTCCGTCCTTTCGGTGAGCAGCCAAGCTCCCTAACTGTCTGACCATCCGGGGACTCCAAGTCCCGATTAGGGAAGCTCTTTTTAACATCATGGATCTTAACTCAGACATGGGCCGAGCTGAGTGTGATCATGAAAAGCGCAAAATCAGATTCCTTGAACTCCAAATGCATTTCCATGCGAAATGATACACATAGTGCATTGCTGGGGGAAAGAGGGCCTGAGGGGAATGGGCACATCGCTGGGAGGAGTTTCTATGGTATAGTAGACCTAGAGGCGGCATGCCGAGACTGTTCCAAAGCCTGTGAATTTGGGGTACTATTTGACCCAGGAATTAAACTTCTCAGACTGAGTCTTAAGGAAATAATCATATAAGTTAGAAGCACTGTTTATAATTAGCCAAAAAAATGGAAAAGACTTAAATGTCCAGCAGTTGGGGGCTGGGTACCGTTTATAGTATAGCCATGCAAGGGCATATTATGTAGGCCATTAAAACGATGCTGCAAGATATCAATGACAAGGGAAAATGGGCCTGATGTAAACATACGCTTCCGACTCGTAGTAACCTTATAGGACAGAGTACAACTGCCCCATGGGGCTTCCTAGGCTGTAATCTTTACAGGAGCAGATCACCAGGTCCTTCTCCCATGGAACTGCTGGTGGGTTCGAACCACCAACCTTTCAGTCAGCAGCTGGGCACTTAACTATTGCGCCACCAGGGCTAGACTAGATGGCACATGACAACAATCTTTGCAGAAGTAAGACTGCCACTTCTTTCTCTCACAGACTGATGGTGGGTTCAAACTGCTGACCTTTCAGTGAGCAGCCTAGCGCTTACCCATCGCACCACCAGGGCTCCTTCTGTAAACACTATACTATAGGCCGGAGGGGAAATGCGAACAAGTTTGATGTATTGGTTGATTGAAATCAGTTAGCTGCAAGCCAATCACTGATCGAAACACAAGACTTGGGGCTGGGAACTGGCATTTTCTTACTCTTGCTTTTCTTACCAGTAATCGCAAATAGTAGGGATTCAGTGACTGTGGTAGAGTGTGCTTTGCTTAGTCCGCAGCTCACTCTGAACTTGCTCACCACTGGAAGGACTGGGTCTGTGTGGACAGATGGCTGGATTGGGCTCTGGGAAGGGGGCCGACCCCTTCAGGTGAAGGTTCTAGTTGTAACAGGGTCTCCGCCGTGGCTGGAGTGGCTGGCGCTCAGAGTAGGAAGAGGAAGTGCGCTGCTCGTAGTGGGTGATTAACAAATGTGCCTGGGTGCTCAGTCTCTGCTTTGTCTCCATCCCACCACCCCCCGCCCCCCTGCAGGCAGGCAGGGTTAGGCCAGTTGTACAGACTGCAGTGAGCACCGCAGAGAGAAGCTGTGAATGACATGGAGCCCAGCTGAAATGAACAGGCCCCTGGAGCCTGTTGCAAGCCCTGGTGTCAGGTCTCCCTCCGTCCCAGCGCTGAGGTAAGACCCCTTGAATCCCAGCTTGGGGACAGGGAGGGCAGAATGCCTCCTTTGTGGGACAGTGGAAACTCCCTCCTCTAGTCTTGAAGGCTCTGTGCAATCAAGGGAACAGTGTTCAGGGAAGAAAGGGCAGTTGTTTTGGGTTCATTCTAACCATCTTTTTGGACCTCAGCCAATTGGGTGGCAAGGTCAGTTGGCCAAATGAGGCTTTAAAAAAAATTTTTTTTTTTTTTTGATGAAAATATACAGAGCAAAGCATACACCCATTCCATTATTTTTACACGTACCATTCACTGACAATGGTTACATGGCATTGCGTCATCATTCTCCCTATCTCTACCCGTATTGTTTCACCACTATTAACTTAGGCTCTCTGCCCCTTAGAGTTCTCATCTGTGCTTTGGAGTTACTCTTGTCCATTTGATCTCATATTAGACAATTCTTTAAAAGAGCACAGTGCTCAAGGCAAACATTATTAAATGAGGTTCATGGGATAGTTTTGGTTCAAAGCTTGAAAGTTGTTTCTAGGCAACAGATTCAGGGGTTCCTCTGGTCTCAATGTATCCGGTAAGTCTGATTTCCAATAAGAATTTGAAATTCTGTTCCACATTTTTCCTCCTTTTGATCAAGATCCATCTATTGAGTCCTTGATCAAAATATTCAGTAATGGTAGTTAGGCACCATCCATTTCTTCTGGTCTTCTAGTCCTATCCCATGTACGGCCAAAAGAATGAACAAGTCTGTCTTGGAAGAAATACAGCCAGAGTGCTCCTTGAAAGCAAGGATGGCTAGACTTCATCTCATGTACATTGGACACATTATGAGGAGGGAGCAGTCCCTGGAGAAGGACATCATGCTTGGTAAAGTAGAGGTTTCAGCAAAAAAGAGGAAGACCCTCAATGAGATGGATTGACACAGTGGCTGCAACAGTGGGCTCAAGCACAACAACGATCGTTGAGGATGGCTCAGGACTGGGCAGAGTTTTGTTACATAGAGGCACAGTGAGTTGGAACTGGCTCTATGGCACCTAACAACAACAATATGGCAAAGGAGGGAGAAGTTCATGGAGGCAGTTAGACCTGTAGTCCATTTCCTTCTCTGATTCCTATGTTTCTTTTTTTCCCCAAAGAGGCTTTTGATCTTTTAGAGCAGGTCTTTCGGAATCTTGTTAGGGAGTTGTATTTTCTCAGTTGCTGGTGAAATTTGAACTCCAGAGGGAATGAATTTAGCCTCCAGGTTAAGATTGCACCAGATTTAGGTGAATGCTTGACTTAGGTGCACCTGCTTTATCCTGCAAGAGAAATTGAGCTCTTAGGAAACACACACACACACTCCCCAACACGTGGGAGACAGAGTGACAGAAATTATGCAGGAAGGTCATTGCAGAACATTCCACCAAGCTCACTAAAAGAATTATTTTAATTACCTAGATATTTTCTGATTACAAAAGTAATATGTACTCACAGGACATTTGGGAAAATATTGCATGCGGGAGGAAATAAAACATGTCTGAAATCCTGCCCCTGTTAGCAATCTTTCAGGTAGTTTTCTGTTAAGGTTACTTTTTAAGCTTCCACAAGATGTTGATTCCCCTGCATGGAGGTAGAGAGATGAGGCCAAAAGAAAACCCAATTAGGGAGTCAGGAGAACTCGACCCTAGTGTGGAGACTCTCTAGAGCCAATTTTTATACATTCAGGAATTTTGTGAACTGGTTGTTAAAAATTGTTAAAAAACTGTTGGCAGCTTGAAACCAGCCATGGTGAGAATATTTACACCACAGTAATTGGCAAATGCTGTATATGAGGGCTTTTTTGTTTTGGAGAGCTGGTTTACCACATGGGGTCCAGTGCTTGTTCTACCATCCACAGGCTGTGAGGTACTGGACAGGTCACTTAGGTAGCTCGCCATTTCCTCACCTGTGAACAGTAGGTGCTCAACAAACATTAGTTGAATGACTTAAAAGGGTGAAATTTCTGGCCTTACTATTTCCTAAGACAGTTGGGAGAGTTCCGTAAGACAGTGAAAATGAAAATGCTTTGCCTTGCACACTGTGAGCTCCTTGTCATGCAGCGAGGAAGCTTCCTGGATTCAGTTAAACCTTTGATTTATTGGAGGGGAGACATTGGTTGGCATTTCCCCCTTTGGCTCTTTCTTGCTCCTTGAGGAGTCTGAGTTACTCACACCCTTTCATAAAGGCAGATGAAAACCCTCCATTTACTGCCTGACATCTGGGGCACATTTCCTTCCTGGAAAAGTCAAGAAGTTCTGAAAAGTGTGAAAAGGAAGCCCCAGTGCTGCTAGATGTGAGAGCCAGGACCAAAACCAGAGCTTTTGACTCATCATCTCTAATGGGAGGGAGCACTTCCTGCCAAATGGGAAATTAAACAAAAGCCTCTTTCTTCAAGGCCCTGCTATTGCAGCAGATTAAAGCTAATAAATTAGCATAATGGGGTCCCAGGCTCTGCCCTTCTCTCTCCACTTTCTGAATCTCTTTTTTCCCTCTCCACACCCCATTCCTGCGTCCTAGAGGAGGGGGCTGGAAGAGGAGGGCAGGGCTTCCAGCAGGTTACTTCCTGTTCGTACTCCTGATGAGAATGTGCATTTCTAACAAGTTCCCAGCCTACGCTAATGCTGCTGGTTAGGGACCAATTCTCAGAACCGCTAGTAAAGCCCGAAAACCTGTTGCTGTTGAGTCGATTCTGACTTATAGCGACCCTATAGGACAGAGTAGAACTGCCCTATATGGTTTCCAAGGAGCAGCTGGTGGATTCAAACTGCTGATCTTTTGGTTAGCAGCCGAGCTCTTAACCACTGTGCCACCAGGGCTCCACCAGGAGAGCGCTGGTTCTCAAATTTATTATACATGAGAATCACCTGGGTATCTTGTTAAACTGTAGATTCTGATTCAGTCTATTTGGGATGGAAATCCACATTCTCAGCAGGTGTCCTAACCTGAATGAATTCAAAGCCCTGGAGGTGTGGTGTCAGTTAAGCACCCGTTTCTCTCTAAAACCATAGGCGCACAAGATTATAAAGGTGGAAAGGACCATAGGGACTTCTATTTTAAGAAGCCAGGTCACAGGGCTGATGATTATCAGCGCTTGAGGAGAAGGTATGTAACCTGGGGGGCTGGGGTGGGGCTGGGACACTGCTCATGAAGCACACCTGATCTGTGAGTCCTTGCATTTAGCTGGCCACGAGACATAGACGATGGCCTTCCCAGCCCGTCCCCTGTATCTGCTGCCAGAGCTCAGTGCACTTCGTGAGGTGCACCTCTTGGAATTAAGCTCCCTTCCTCACCAGGGCCTTGGTTTTCCAGGTCAGTGAACCACCAAGTATACTAAGAAGATCTTATTCTGAGAACCTTGAGGTATTTTTATGAGGAAGGGAGGGACGTTTATTGATCTTGATTGTTCCAGGCACTGTGTTTTGTGCTCTGTCTACATTATCTCATATTAATCTGCAACAACCCACAAAGTTTGTATTTCTATCCCCATGGTGCAGATGGGGAAACAGAATCTCAGATAGAGACCGAAATTTGCTCAAGACTTCACAGCTCACTGGCCATGGAGATTTGAACTAAGCCTATCTGACCTCCACAGCTTCCCAAAGCTCTCATGAATGCAAGTACTCACCCACGTGGGAGTTCCCAATCCTGTCCTAACAAGCTGAGTCCTCCCTCGGGAACGTGGTTCCTCTCTGAAGCCGCACAAACATCTGCAACACAAAGTGCTGGGATCTTTACAAAATGCTGCCCTGTTTCTTTCAAATCTCAAGGGCTCTTCCTTTTAGAGAAAATAGCCTCAGGGCTGGGAGGATCCATAGAACCTGTTAGTGTGGTCACCCCTCATTCAACAAAGGGATCATTTGACACCCCAGGAGGTGAGGTGCAGTGCTGGTCAGTCCCCGGGTTGCCCAGCCGGGTCAGCCTCAGGACTCTTGGAGCTCTTCCAGGAGAGCACAGTGAGATGGGTAGTTTCGGATAAGAGATTATTCCTCTGGTAAGAGGGCTTTATTCAGTTCCACATACAGTTACTGAAAACCTACAGCGTGCCCAGACTGCTTGGGCAAGAGATTCTGGCCCAGCCTTGGGCATGCAAGTCTGACAAAGGACAGGTAGGGGCTTCTCTACAAGGCTGCAATGTTCTCTTTTTCATGCGTCCTCTAACTGGTTATCTCTAGCTGTTCCTTCAAGAATTGTAAAGGGAGAAATTATGTCTCAAATTGCTCTGTGTGTTCAAAACAGAGTTTTAGGGGCTCAACCTGCTAACTAGGGAACAAAGTAGCTAGTGGGTGAGGCACGGTCTTTGAAAGATCCTTGTAGAGAGCTGGGGCCACTGGGAGGTGATGGAGTGGCAGAGGGAGCAGTTTGGGTGGGTACTGCTAAGTGGGTGTCTGCCTGGGGGGCTGAATGTTCAATTTCTTAGATAATCAAGAATCCTTTTTATCTGTTGGACCTGATCTATTTCAGAGGAGAAAAAGCTCAGTTTAGCAGGTGTAAAAATGGCCTGAGGGCAGCATTGGACCTCCCTGTCTAATTCTACAAGGGGAAGGAGAGAGAATTGTTATCAGCATCAGCCGGAAGCTGGTTCCTGTGAGGCAGAGGTCAGACATGCCTCCACTCTCTGCCATCTTTACTAATTCTTGACACCAGCCATCCATCCTTCCCACAGCACTCTGCTTCTCTGCTAGGTTCGAGAATTCATGGCAGTGGCCACACAGAACTCACAGACAATACTCACGATTATGGAGTTTATTAGAGAAGTAATAAGTTAGAATTCAGGATCGGAATGACTCAGGATACAGTTCTTCGGTTAGGACAGCTTCTTGGCTGTGCCCACAGGCAGGTCTCTCCATGGCCCTCTGCCCCTCTGGCCGCTTGAGCCAGCCCAGCCTCTGCCCTGCTCGGGCAAGTGTTACAAAGCTTTAACTCCACTGATAAATGCTCAGAGGTACCCCACTCCACCAGTAAGCCTCCTGCCCGAAGGCGCTCAACTTT